ATTTCGTATTAAGAGTCTTATAAATTTCCATTTGTAATTAGACTGAGTAACGTTTAAAAGAAAACCTTTCTCAAAAAAATAGTAACTGATACAAAATTATATTATATGATTTACTGTATTTAAAATTATATGAGTTTATTATTGATAACTGATTTACTGAAGTACCAGATTAAAATTATTACGAATAAGATTTGTACCAGAAAGAAACATAATATTCTGCGCAAGTAAACATTCTACATTCTACTAATTAGATAAAAATTATAAGAACTTGTCTAATCAATTGCCTCTTATTACAGCACACTTTCATTTCAGTATTTCGATCGAATATCAAATTGATCGCAATCGACCGCAGCCAGAATAATCGATTCTCAAGTGTTGATAATCGTTCGATAAGTAAATGGTTGATAAAAATATACGTTTGACTGTACAAAATTTTCGTGCGAAATAACGATATATCAGAATACTCGAAAGAAACGATGCCCTTAACCGAACGAAATTAACATTCGCATCGGAAAACAATGCGAAGAAAAATGTATATTCATAAAACGTATACGAATCTACCGGGGATTAAACTCTTTATTGCGAATAAACGGAAACGAATTCTTCACGAATTCCAACGTAACGGGTTCCACACATTCACAGAAACTTTCTACATCGAATATCATTTCTGCGAGGATTGTTACTTAAAATGCTCGAAGCGTTACCAACCGACAGAATTCGTGCACGAATCGTTCTTTTTTTCTTGCTCCTTAACGCGCCTATCGTAAATCATTCTCAAAACCTTCCGCTTATAAATGACGAACACAAACATACGTAAAGAGGCAAAACCTTGAGGATTGCTATGCGACTCAAAAATAATCTCGTAACTTAAACGAAAACTTTATTGAACTCTGACTAATACTATTTACCATTAAATATTGTACCAGAGTATGTTAATAAAAATGTGGTGAAATCTTGTTATATGGCGCTGAAACTGTAAAAATAGAAAAATTATGGAATTATGGAAATTGGTCATATAAGGAATTTTTTTTCTGTGGAGTACTTTATTGGGAAAATTTATAAATCCCGAAAGTATTGGGAGATCAAGGGATACCGTGATCTATAGATGTTGCGATTTAGGGATATTTTGATTTGAGGGTGTTGGGACATTGAAATCTGGAGTTAATCAAATTGTAGAGTATTACAATTTAAGGATATTGGGAACTTAGGGACAATTGGATCTAAGATTCTCTAAGGTCATAGGGATCTAATAAAATTGAAATATAGAGATACAAAGATGTGGGAGATGTGGATGCAGATTTAGTAATCTAGAAATATAAGTATTTAGGAGCACAAGTATAAATTCAGAAAAGTCTAAATGCAACATGCACACACATTTCACTTTTATAGTACAGATTCTAATTACACATAATTGGCAGATTCAAGAATCATTAAATGCAAAGTATGCATAATATTTCAACTTTCTATTGTTTGCCTTAACAATGCAACAGTAATTAATTAGCTGCAACTGATGCATCTGTTGAAACATAAGTTCGCTACTGGAAGCCATTCAAAGTTCATAAATTTTACACGTGCCGATTTAATTAGAAACGAAAAGTATACGCAGAGGATTTCTGAAAACAAGACCCTAAATCTCGAACATTTTAACGCGAGATCAAAGAGGGAGCAATTAAACGCAACGTGACTGTAAAAGCACGGTCGTTCGAAAAGCGAAGAGATCGGCAAGAAGCAAGCGAAGTACGGTTAGTTTCTCCCCGGATGTCTGATGGCCTCTTTCGCGTACAGGCGGCCTTGCCAGGAATGCACATTTTCTGCCGGTACGCCGTTTACTTTGGCTTCGATTCGAATCGATGCACAGACCACCTTTCACCTATCGTCACTTAATCACGTGACCGTGCTTGTTATCGTTCAACATCATCATGATACCCTTGTTGTCGTACGAATCATCTCAAGTACGTTCGGTTTCGAATCTCAACCTTGTAACCTGTTACTAGCACCTCTTACAAGTTTACACGCGATTCGTCGAATTTCATTTGTATCCTTGGATAGGTGACTTTTCAGTGAAAGGACGCGATATTACAAAGCTAAGAATATTCCCTCTATTTAACCTCTCTTCGGATAAATTACTTCGAGTCCTTGTAACCTCCATCATTTTCCGTAATCTTTCAAAAAGATTTAGGAAAAATATTGATCTTCAAACATTATAAACTCTCGTTATATTGCCACTTTTATATGAATTTACACATCAGTAACTTCACATTTTTCTACGTCATTATAAAGCTATATGTTGCATCACAATGTGTTGTATGATCAAATTAATAGTGACATAGCAAACTCTCATTATATTGCCACTTTTATATGAACTTACACATCAGTAACTTCACATCTTTCTACAACATTATAGAGTTACATGTTGTATCACAATGTGTTGTATGATCAAATTAATAGTGATATAACAAACTCTCATTATATTGCCACTTTTATATGAACTTACACATCAGTGACGTTTACATTTTTCTACATCATTATACAGCTATATGTTGTATCACAATGTATTGTGTAATCAATCGTTGTATTGCCTCGCGTTATATTGCTATGCAAAATATTATCACGTATTGCCACGTATAACCGTGCGTGATATGGCGAAGTACGCTGCCATGCATTACATATACCATGCATTGTTTGACCAAGCGTCATGTCGACATGTTTTATATAGCCATGCGTGGTATGACAAAGCATTATTACATATACATGCTCAAGTTTTATAAATTTCTTGCACATAAATCATAAGATGCCCACAAGAAATAGCAATAACCTAAAATCCACGTAAAATACAGTCCAGAGCTGAGTTTCCAGGTTAGATTGCAGAATCAGTGATTACATATTGCAAAATCTATGTCATAATACATTGAAAACTACAAGTGTTTCATAAATATCGATGTCCATTTACGCAACGAACTTCGAAATTGCAATAACTATTTTTAAAAATTAAACAACATACAGTATACTTACATTAATAAAATAATCAAATAGAAATGTAAAAAAAAATTAAGTAATGTAATTAACGAAGCTGTGGGAGAGAAAAATGCTACCGGCAATATAGAAAAAAATCTATCTATGCAGTGCTTGATATTCTAAATTTAAAAATTTGTGATTTTAATAACTTGTAAATTTTTGAATTTCAAAGTCCCAGAATTTGGATTTTAAATTTCTAAACTTAAAAGATTTAAAAGACTTTCAATTTGAAACGTTCTTTTAACTTTTAAAAAGTTTCACAATGTCGCTATATCATGGCAAAAATTCTGTTATCAAAATTTCACAACTGTGAATTTGTACTTCAGATATGTGCTTTTCAATAGAACAAATCAGATAATGGAAAAATACAAGAGGGGAGGGGGGCAATTTAAAAACATACGTATGAGAATTAATTACCGGCGCATCCCAATAACGAGCTCAATTTTATTGGTTGTCCTGTGCATTATGCAATTCTGTTCGTGATGGCCTTTACAATGAACAGACATTACCCAACAAGACGAGACAAAGGACCTTGACAACCTCGATAGAATCTTAACCTACCAGCTAAAATAATTTCTTCCACTACAAACCGTATTCTAATAAAACACAATTACATCATGTAATCACCACAGCTACAATAACCAAAAATATTTTAAACGAATAAAATGTAAAATCAATACAAGAATATGATCATCTCGAGCAAATGAAAAAGAAGGACAAACCAATTATTACATAAACTTAATGTATCAGCCTTTTTTGGCGCCCTTTTTAAATTGCATATCATACTTCAATACGACTTATAACAGTTACCAGCTAAAATATAAACGACAAATAAAACATGAGCTGGAAAGATTGCGTATCGGAAGTTTTAATTTAAAGTCATTTTAATCTAAAAAATTTGTGCTTAAACTATACGTACTGTCCAATATAATTCCCTACGCACAAGTTGATTCTCCGAATCGAATTTAATTCTAGCTCGTAGAAACTGCAAAAACTAGTTTATGCACGTAAACACGTGCAACAAATTGAAACATACATGTTCAATTTAGCGATTCGTACAGAAATAGTGAAAGTTAAGTTTTGTGTTCATCGTTGATTTTTTTAAACGATAAAAAACACATATAAAATACTGTCGCAATGTAATAAATGTTTGTACACACTGCAAACGTCTAAAGTTAATATGAGCTGTATAAAAAATAGTTTCAGGAATTCTACGCTCATGACACACGTGACACGTCAACTGGTAGGGTAATCTTCACCTAACCAGTGATTACTGACACATGCGACATCTCCCGAAATTCATCGCAAGTTTCACTTCGTTTAATACTTATTCGCTCCTTACAGTTTAATTTTACTTAGAATTACACCATAAATTATGTCACACTGTAATGCATATTTTAAAAGGAAGGGCTGTTGAATAAAAAATATCGCTTTACTATTTCTAAATTCCTTATATTTTAATATTTAACATGACCCACCTGTGGATCCACACCCACGATTAGGGGGACCTTTGATATTCAGTTTTTTATATCTTAAAAAATACCAGGAATATAGAGATCTATGGAAATTGAAATTTAGAAGAATTTAGGGATCTGAAAAAATCGAAATGTGGGGATTCTTGAATGGATATTGAGATCTAGAGAAGTTTGGGGAAATTTAGATTTTGGAATATAGGGATTTAGACATATAATAGAGCTGTGGAAAGTAGAAATCTAGGAATATAATATACGTTTCGATATAACATACGTTTCACTTCTACAGTATATTACGACTCGCTCAAAATCAGCTCATGACCCATTAGTGAATCGATACCCATATTTTGTAAATGTGCTTTTAAATTTGTTATGTATTAATATTTATAGAAAACCACCAGTGGGTCGATCCCATACTTTGGGAATCTCTGCTTCAGAGAATACGAACATTGTAAAAACATTGGAGCATTCAAATAGGCGATTGCCGCGAACGCAGCGTGACATTCAACTTACCTATCACCGTGGACATTTTCGTCTTGCGTGTCGTTCTAGTGTCTGGTCCAATTTTTCCTACGACCGTTATGTTAGTGATGGTAAGAAATGGTGATGATTGAGCGCATGTTTAGCGGTGTGATTGCCCACTGTGCGATCTTATCCACTCTCGTTCTCAACATGCGAGGAAGCGATACACGAGGTTCTCTTCGTCGATGTATATACGCCTGTATGGCGCGAATACTTGAAAGAGCAACGATGGCTATTCGAATGAATGGACACCTCCTCGTGCTTTGCAAACGAAAAGACCGCTCGTCGAAATTATATAACCTCCGCGCCAGCAAAGACGATATGATACTGGTAAGACGATGTTTTCGCACGAGTTAGTAATCGCAAGGCCCGGCAATACCCACTGCTACTACTGGTTACTACTATCGTTAACTCACTCGTGTAGCAACACTTTCTTTTGAAAGACTATTTCGGTTGTCACGTATCAACGAATATTTTCTCACGTTCTATTCTTAAATATGATATTCACATTACACGACAACTACGATAAACATATTCTATCATTTAATTTCACACACTTGATATGCATCGCAACAACCATATGCTGCTTGTGAAGATAATTTTGTAGCCTGATACACAAATAACACGATTTGTTTGCCGATCAAAATCAACGTGCACGATATAAAATCGACGTATTTATAAAAATATGAATTAACTTCGATAAAATGTTGTTAAAAAAGGAAGACAGTATCTTTTGACTTGATATTTCGAACCATAGGATTACAAAACAGCCTTGAAAATATTACGCCGTAAAGAAAGGAAAATGATCCTTTATTTAGGCTACGCACGATTCTATCGCGTTGTCGTGAACTTTGTTATACTCCTGATAAAATTGCACTCGATTATTTTCACGATAAGCCAAATAATAAAATAGAAAAAAAGAGAACGAGAAACGTGTGTACCGTGTGGCTTGATTGCCACATGTACACAGACTACGCGCGACATACAGCCGAACTCGACGCTCGGATGTTTTCGTAAGCCTTCGGCAAGTTAGCTATGTCGCCCCGTTTCATCCTATTCTCCTTCTTTCTTCCTTTCGTGGGTTCTTTCCCTGTTTTCTCCTTAGTTACTTCTTCGTACATCCTTTCACACGACCCATATATCTATTATTCTTATTTCAGTTTTAATTTGTCTATTAAACGACACTTAATTTACACGAAGGAAACTTTCGTAAGATTCAACAGATTGCTTCCCCACTCTCTCTCTCGTTTGTTTTTATTTATACACGTATCAAGCGCTTATATTTTCCCTGTCCATTTCTCGGAATAAAATTAAAACTTTTCGGGCAAAACTAAAGATCAAGAAATACGGAGAAAACCATAAACCATTAACAGTAAGAAAGTCGTAATCGATACGGAAAATCAACTGATTACATCAAAGTGATTTAATAACAGTGTCAAATGTCTTCGATAAGGTCGTTCTATAACCAATCACTGACTTTGTACTAACACCATTTAAGCAGAATCGAAAGGAAAAGTATTTTCTTTGCAATACGATCACAGTTCTTATTCATCATTTCATCACGTCCAATTAAGATTCTTTAGTTCTATTATTTCAAAGCGAAAAATCGAGTAGAATCTATCGTTAAGTAACCTATTTGTTGAAGAAGTAATAAAACAACCTGGTAAATTATTCATTAAATAGAACATGAAAAAAAATTAATAACTACATAACTTCGATATATTGGACAGTAGTAGAACTCGCATAATTACAATGTATCTTTCATGGCTTCCATAATTCTATTAAGTTAGTTTCCTTAGATGTATTTAACGCTTGAGAATAGATATATGATGAAATATTATAATTTAACGCCTTTCAATATCAAAGATAAAGAACCAAAAGCAAATTTAAATTCTTTAAAAATATTATAAAATTAATATTCAAAATTTATACGCGAATAAAAAATTCAGAAATATTATGGTATAATACAATAAATTTATTTTAAAAAAAAATGAATAAAACCCACAAAATGCTATTGCAAATCGAGCAAAAAATGAATAAACATATACCATGCAAATTAAATTGCTCGATTAATATATCATTTATAAACTAATAATTAAAAAAATTGTATAAAAAGAACAATTAACTCAGGCACGCAATATTTTTTTTCATACAATCGCATTTTTATTGTATTTATGAAAAAAAAAAATATTAAACATAAAGAAAACAATTAGATGAAAATTAATCGTAAAGATAATAATAACAAAAATAAATACGACGTCGTAGATATTTTTACAGAAACTCCCTAATGGATAACCACATGGACCGCATGGTTATCTTAACCTCAAAACATAACCTCTACGTACTTGAAATAGACGTTTAAGTTCGTTTGCGTAGAAATATATATATATGCACACACACGTATATATATAACAAACGTAAAAAGCGTACAATTGATGCGTATAAATGAAAAATTGTATTAATAATTTTTACTCACCAGCATTCGGTACAAAGCGCGAGGTGTTACTCGTAACCACGGTATTGTAAGCTGGGGACGAGTGGACACTCTGTTGATTGACGTTCACTATGAGTTGATGTTGTGTCGGATTATGATGAGGTTGAGAATGATGTTGATGATGGGATAGGTGGTGATGCTTCCCTTTCGTCGGCATACTCATCGCAAACGTAGGCCTCCTTTCTTTAAACTCTCCACTACCTTCAAAGCTTGTTGCCTTATGTGGCTCGCCGAGGTCCTCATAGGTACGTTATTTTCGCACGCGCGTAGTTAAGCGTAATGTTTGTCGAAAGACTTCCTTGCCCAAGCAAATTTTACGGAACAATTGGATGTACGCAAAATGATGGTTAGCGTTCGGTCACCCGTAGGAAACTGGTGGCACGTTTACACGCGCGCGCACTTTAATGACAATCTGTTCATGTACAAAAATTTCGCGTTCACTTTTTCCACAATCTTTGTTCAAACACCGTTTTTCTTTGTATCCTTTGACAAATTATAAGCTCTTTTTACGCGGAGTCTTTGTTCGACAATGCATTCAACCAAAAGTGTTTACGCTCTTATCACTTTTTTTTTCTCAAGATTCACGCGCGGTATTGTATGCAGTATTCAACTGGCCACGGTCATTTACTTCTTCTTACAAAAATGACCGATTATTGTCGACGATAACCGTACCTACGTTGCTCTACTTGTCTAAAAAATCACGTAAACTGTCTGACAAACGGTGGATGGCTTGTTTTCTTGTAAGAAAAAAGAAGCGACGCGCACCGTACATTGAGCACAACCACAGCACGCCTTTCTTTCCATTTCCTCTGATCTAACGTTCCTTCATGGTAATATAAAAATATTAACTTGTCGTACCTTTTTTGGATAAATAAAGTCTAATATAAATTGTAAAAAATCTTGAATAATCGATATTTTTCGAACTATTTAATTATAAATTGTAACTAGTTTTGTATTAATTTATTCATTCGAAAGGTACTATTTTTTTGAAACGACACGAACGGATTTGTGGTAATGTAGCGAAACAAAATTGTACAGCAACCAATCAAATGATTGGCATGAACTGCATAATTAATATAGAATGGATAACTATTTAATTCATTATTACTTATGTGATAATAATGTGAAATAGTAGATAATAATGCCAGGCAAAATTTAAACAACTTTTAACTAAAAAGTTATCATCTTACAACATTTTACCACATCAATTGATAAATATTATACGTGATTTATAGTATCTAAAAGTGAGAGTATATAGAAATATGATTTTGTTATTATAGATAAATTTTATTACATTGTATTTTAGTAAATATATATATATATTGTAAATAGAAGTGTAAATGTTATTTAAATATATAAGGAAATATGTCTTGTATTTTTGTATATGAATATAAATTTATATGTACATTTAAGTATATCAATGATTAATAAAACCGATTAAAATTATTACACTTTTGCAATTAATTACATAGAATATAATGTATATAAATATAATTTTATCTATCACTAAACATCTATATATTTTGAAAGTAAGCAGCTGTTGATAACAGCTTAATTAACATAATACATTTTTTAACTTCCTAAACAAGAAAGTTGTATGTATTAGAACTGATGTACATGTCTAAAAAGATATAACAAAATATATAAAATTATTTAAAACCGTTCTATGAAAATATATAATAAAAATATTTGTAATGATACCATCACACTGATCTTCAACGTAACCTTACTTTATGCGATAGCAGTATCATTTTCGCTCCCTAATACTTCAAATTTTTATATTTGTTCTAACGCTTTATACAAAAATGAGTTCTCGAGGTAAAGTGGAAACGGAAAAGTTAAGAAAAAATCTAGAAGCACAATTGGACAGACTAGTACAGCAATTGGAAGATATAGAAGAAAACCGGTATATTTAAGATATTATTACTTGGAATTTTTTATATGATCTAAAAATTAATGTCCGATTATATTATGAACTTTATAACATATATTTCGTTAAAATTATAATATTTGATAGGAATTTATTAGATGCAGATGCTTATGAAGAAGCCATGCAACTTACGAAGGAAGATTTACAAGAGTTTAATGATACTTTACAACGAATGATATCAGGAGATACAACATTAGTTGATGAACTAAGTTCAATACAGTTGGTACGTCATATTTTAATAACAATTATCATTGTCTTAACGATCCACTATCTAAGTGTTAAAGATGATGAAATACATAGTTATACAAATATTATTCTGTGAAATAATTAAAATGTATTTTATGTTTTAAACAAATAGGCAACTCAGTCAGCAATCAGTGAAGCATTTAAAACTCCTGCTGTTATTAGAATGTTTGGCAAGCGAGAAACAACACAACTTAGAGCACGTCTAGCTCAAATTGATTGTGATATGAAACTTGGAAAACTGAATAGGGAAGCTAGTGATCGCCAACGTGGAGAAGTACTAAATGCATTAAGACAACTTGGAGAAAAACTGGAACCTCAAGAATTACAATTATTAGAAAAATTAAGGCTGAATAGTATTGATGCAACAAGTTATGTGCAAGTAACTGAAAATGCAGAGAAAGGTCGGATGGCTATGACAGTAGTAGGTGATGAAGTTAGAACTCAGAACACCTAGATTTTTATAGTTATGTAAATTCTTTATAAAATATATAATGAATGGTTTAAACAGTTAATAACTATAATATAATTTGTAAAAAGGTAACGAAATTTGACAAAAATAAGGTGTTATTTTATAAACATAACGTCATTTTGATACATTGATATGTATATTAAGTAATAACGAATGTTTACTATTGTTTTCAAATTTTAATACAATTATTTTTTATTATAAATAGAGGGTCGTAAAATGTTGCTATTTTGAATTTATTTAATATTTAAATATATTTTTTAATCACTACTGGCCATTTTATTTAGTTAAACCATCAAAATTTTTATTTATATAAAAATGTAATCGTTAAATTAGATTATTTAATTAAAGAGAACTTTTAATATTAATTTTATAAATAAAATTTAAACTATATAAATAAATATATAATAAATTATTTAACATTAATACGTTATTCTTTTATGAAATATAAACTAAATTTTTATTTATTTCTAGTCATATTATATTATTACATAATGTATGTAAAATATGTGTAATTTATTTCACTGTCACATTCATGAATTATTTACACATTCAAAGATACATACACATATTTATGCATATAGTATATCAGAACATATAATTATTGTAAATATGTATACATACATATGTATGTGACATAAATTATGTTACAGATATTTGGCTTCAATACTGTGAATTAATGTTACATATTATTTCAACATAAATGTATTTTTAATCTTACGAACTTTCTATTGACATTGAGTGTAAAATTAAAAAGAACTTAAAACTTTCGTACTATTATTTATTATTAAACATGTAGAATTTCCAAGTAAATTTATATATAATAAGTACGTACAAAATGTACGTATAATTACTGTCATTTATCCCTTATTTTTTTTAAGTCACAAATATAAAAAAATAGTGGTTACAAGTAACAGCAACCAAAACATTTGTATACATGTTACATACAAATGTTTCCATTTAAGGAGAAAGTTTACAAAAAGCGTGTCACTTTACTGTCAAGAATATATTAACGTGCTTCTACAAGGTATCTTTTTTTACAAACACAGTAGCTTTACTTGTATTCTTACAGACTTATTATTGGATTATTATATGTATTGCATCCACTGAAAATTAACGTTTACGTCGACAAACTCTTTTATGTTCCCGCTGCCAGTGCACTTGCTGGCAATCAGTACTACAGTATGCAGTATTCCAACAGCAATGGTATATTGCTTCAGCTTCACAATTGTAACACTAAAATTACAATATATATTAGAACATTTACGGAAAGATTATTTGTAAAATACTTATGCAGAAAAAGTATTAAAAAATAATTTACCCATTGTTTCTTCTTTATTTCTGATATCATTTGTTGATGTCTGTCTGTTAATTGTCGTAATTCTTTAGCATGTTCAGCTTGTAATTTTTCCAATTCCTTGCATTTTTCTAACTCTAATTCACGACGTAGTTTTTCTACTGCTGTTGTAGTCGGTTGTTCTGATGTTCTGCGTTCCCTTTTTATCTATAAAACAGACTACATAAATATACAACAAACGTAATCGATCAATATAATTATTCTTATTTTGTACCTTCGCAGGTATCGGTTCTGTTTGTATTTGTTCTGTTTGTACCAGAACACATTTAGTTCTTGGTTCTTGAGAACTTGATGTAACCATATCCTCTTGAGAGCCTTCCTTTTTCAAGCCTTGAGGACAGGTACTGGATATTCCTCTTGCTGGTTCATCTTCTGCTACTGGTAAGCAAGGTACTTGTCGTTCTTCACTTTTAGCTTTAATCGTAGATCGATCATTATTATCTACTGTTTCTTGAGTTGCTATTATATCATTGTGACTATCTGAACTGAGACGTTCAACTTTCACTCTTAAATCTTTAAAAAGTTGTTTCGCGGGATTAAAACTATTCGTTGAATTCTTTGAAACTGATTCTACGTTTCGAATTTTGGTCGGTTTTGGACCCTCGTTATCGTCGCTGATGTCTAAATCCTTGATGTTCTTGCCCATCTTTTGCAGCAAATTTTGATGAAGCTTCAGTTCTTCAAATGCTCTGTTCCAAGCAGTGGATCTTTTTATCTATGGAAGGTAAATTGTGCAAGCTTTAAAAAAACATTCGAGCTTCTTCTGATTGCACAATGAAACGGATTGATGAGAAATTAGTTGTACACTTTAGGCCACAGCATGTGTGCATACCTTCATTTCTTTCCACTTTCCTTTTTCCGAAGGCTATGCAAGAATTCGTTGTTAAGATAATAATATACCTAAGTGCAACAACAATTTCTAAATTGCTTTCTCTCAACAGTTCTCTTCTATCGTGTCAGTGATATGATACACTGTAAATGGCGTGTAACCTAAACCGAGAATTTCACAGTGTTCGCGTGACAATTTCGCGTAGAACGCCGGAAAGTTTTAACATATCTTTACCTGTAAACTTTGTAGACTGGAGGTAATTGGACGAATGAACACTTTTTCGATGTTGGCACGCATGTGATGACCCCCGAAAAAACGGACATCATAAATGTTGCCATTAACTTGCATCACCTTAGCTGGCCAGTACGGGTACCCCTTTTGCTTAGCATAAACTAACTGATGTGGTGGATTACATGGTATGCAAAACCACATCTTTTCTGATTTTTCATTGGATATCCTGTAGCAGTCAGCACATCGGCGAATCTCCTGAAGATCGTAGCAGCAATCTTGATACATTGTTAGACCCATTTCTCCAATTATGCTATGAGCTAAATAAGCATTGAAATTAAAATACTTCTACAATAAAAATGACATTTATTCATAAATTCAACTACCTACCTCCATGATATATAATAATATTATGTAAAATATTATGTGCATCTGCTTGAAACTCAGCAAGGTTATTATATCCATTCTTTTTGATGTTTGAATCCATTATTGCCAAGTCCATATGGTGTTTTATAAGAATATTTGGCCTCCATGCATCTTCACCTTCACTGACCCATGTTGGACCTGAATATTTATTATTTGGCATAATAATAGGATCATGGTTAAAAACAATGGTACGATTTGTAATTTCTGGTGGTAATTTTGCTTTCAAATGTCCACAAGTGAAGCTCAAAATGTGATTAAGATCCATCTTATCTGGGTAGGTATCATTATTTATACTCTGTAACAATTAATTCTATTTTAGTGATATACAATATGTGAAAAATTAATTTTAATATTATATACTGACCTCACAAAAATGACATATTTTTAACTTAATATTACTAGGCACATGACATTCAGGGTGATAAACTCTGTGACACTGTTGACAACATTCCACTACTCCTGCTTTTTGGCATTTACAACAATACCAGTCATGATCATCATTGTCTACCGTTTCTCCTGGTAATCTATAACTTTCTTGTTCTATACCACTCTTTGTTGGTACTTTTTTCAAATAAACAAGTCCATCATCAACTGCTTTATTTAGTTCTTCCTGTGCTTCTTGTTCTGTTATTCCATAAACCCTAGATAGGTGTCGTACCATACGGTCATTACTTGGTAAACTTCTTTGATGTACAGTTATTTTGATAGCATCCCATATTCTTTGTGTCATAAATGGATCAGTTCTTCGACGAATAGACATGGTGGTAAGTGAGAACTAAAACAAGTATAAAGCAAATGTTATAATTCATGCAGTATTTTCAAATAAATAATCTTATTTTCACTAATTACAAAGTGTTGAAAATTATATGGTTCGCACAAATATTCTGCATGCACTACAGAACATTAAAATATTTTACTTTACAAATTATCAATACCAGCATTCATTATTACATAGATATTTAATCAATATACCCACATATTGCAATGCTTATATTTAAAATGTATAACAGTTGTCAAGATACCCCCATATGTAACACAACTTATCAAAACATAATACTTTTACCTAATGGTTTTTCAAAGTAGTATCTTGTTAAACAGCACAAGGTATAAGAGTTGTGCATTTCAAAATATATTTATTAATCTTAGAACTACATGTAATACAAGTGGAGTTATATAAGATTTATTTTAAAACTAGATAATTAATTGAATACTTAAAGATTGTAATAAATTTGAATATAATATGTATTTTATAGTGTTGAGTGTGGGAGCCTCTGTATTATTAGTATCCAGTGTTATTACAATTATGATTTTATTAAGGAAACAATTTAAACAATGGATAAATACACCTTTATATATTTTAACAATATCTGATGTATTGTTCTCTATATTTACATCTGGTGTATTACTCATAAATTATTCAGAAATGATTTCTTATACAAATTTTGATAAAGGAAATAGTACTGTGTTTTTAAACAGTACATGGGATGAAGACATTAAACTCAAAGAAATGAAACTTGAGACAATTAAAGATAATAATCTTAATCTAATTCCAGAATGTAATACTATAAACATTATAATGAAATATGGAATGTTATTTTTTCCATTAACCAATTCATTTGTGTCTTTACTGATGTTTTCTATACAATGTAACTTAAGTGTATTCAGTATAAAAAGCCAGTGCTCTGAACTACTATGCCAAGAAAAAGTGTATGAAACTGATGCTAACATAAATCAACATAAGAAATATGAAACACCAGTGATAATTAATACTTTCAAAAAGCAATTAGATTCAGTATTTAAATTAATGAAATCTGAAAAACGTTCAATAATTAAAGAAAAACTCATACAAATTTTTAAATGTAGTGAAATAAAAAAAGGAAAGAAGGTTACTAGCATACTTCTAGTAAACCAATGGATTATACCCATTTTTATTATAGGAATTCTATATCTGGCTAAGTATGATAATAGAAGATATATAACAGATATGGAAAATGTACAGTGTTTTAGCAAAAATAATTTCTTTTTGGATAAATGCTATAACAATACTATATCAATGAGTATTATACAAAATGTTACTCCCACTGCATATCCAACTAGTATGTATAAAGATTATATTGGCAATAAAGATTTAATAAAATCATCAGACATAAATAATACTGAAGTGAATGAAGTAATATCCAAAGTACAAAATATTATTAACATTGTATTAAATGAAACATCTACTATATCACATAATGCAACCTTTAATAATGCTTTGGAATTCTTAAATACAACAAAGTACTTGAAACCTAATACACAATCAGAGATTAATGGTTCTAATGAGCCTATCAAAAGTAAAATTAATTCAACCCAAGATATACAAATGACATGGCATAAAACTCCTCATAGTGTAACAAATTTTCAAGATAACATAAGTTTACAAGATAATAATATACTGCCAAAACACAATACATATAATTATAACAAAGAATCAGTGTTATTTAACCAGTTAACAATAAATTCTTCAACTGGCGTGCCAGTAGAAAAAACTAATTTGAATGAAATAATTACTAGTACTGCTGAAGAGTTACAATCTCAAAAATTACAAGCAGCTATTAAAGACGATCAACATATTATAAATGAAGAATATAACACATCAGTTGTATCAGATGATCAAATAGATGCACAAATACATACACAAGATATGAGTATGGATTATGATATAAAGGAAGATTATAAAAGTAGCTTTGAATATCAAGAAATCTTGGAACAAAATGTATTAAAAGATGTACAATATAATTATACTTCAAATAGTCAAAATGAATCATCAGTTATCAAAATCATTATCTATGAAAATGGTAATATTCCACAGATAATACAGATGTATGTAAGCAATAAATGTTATATATCAATTAGATTTTTAAGATTACATCTTTTTGTATTTGGATTTGTAATTTATTTCTTGCCAATATTGTTTTCTTCAATTTTACATCAACGTGGTAAATTAAATTGTCAGATTATATTAGAGAAATTAAAAGCTAAAAATGAAATACTATTAAATAATATTAATTTTATGAACAAAGTTACCTGCAATGTATCTACAGAAGCTACTATGTCAAAACAGGATTTTGAACATGCAATAGAAAATTTAGAAGAATCAATAAAGAATAGCGTTTCATTAAAGGAAACAGAAATATCACATACAGATCATGACAAAGAAGGTAATAATCAATATAAACATGATGAACAGTACCATGTTCCATTTGATAGCGAAAAATTATACTTAAATACAATAAATCAAGTAAAAAATATATTAAAACTATTTGATATGATTAAGGTGTCTTTATTATATGGAATATTATTATGGACACCTATATTTTTAGAAATTTTATTGAAGGTACTTATGCTTTTCAATATACCTGAATGGTTAATCAATATTACATATTTAAGTGCTACTATGTTTGGCTTATTACGGAATATTTTTAATCTTAAGATGATAAAACTTCAAGAAATTAATAAAAACATTATAAAAACAAACACTATATATCCTATCGTATGATATATAGCTAAATTGTACATTTACTTGCACCGGTATTGCAAATCCATGCTTTTATATAAAAAAATGTAATTATAACTTTGTATTAGAAATTTCATATAGGTGGCATGCACTTGTTTTATACATAAATGGCGTTATAGTCGTTCACCATTCTTAACTTTGTTAATAAAACTACCTAAAATTAATTTAAACCTTATTTCGTCGAATTTCTCCACTGTGTTAGATCATAACAATACAGAAATAAACAAAATTACTCGAATGTTATAATTCATTATTACTTCATAATTTTAATTACGATATAAGAATCGAAATATCCTTACCAAAGATGACACACAAATTTGCAATTCATATATTGTTACTTAGGTCATAAATAAAAATTTTAACTTGAAATCACGACTGATTATCAATCCATATTTTTAAGTGTTCTGGTAAAATGTACTCAAAGTAAAAGCAAAATTTTCGCCGACGCCCGTAGGCAATAATAAGACAATAATTAATGTTAGAGACGCGCAGTTACATCGCACATATCGCGCACGTCACAAGCTTAACCTCACTCTAGCAATGCGCGCGCATCTCATAATTTAAAATTTTTTAGTATTACTTCATATATGTATATACAATAATTAATTATCATTGACATTACTAATATTTTATATTGGATCCGATAGTTTTATTAAAGATACCAAATATCTAATATTGCTTAATATTAACATATTTTTCATTCATGTTTTCGTATAATAAGAATATTATTTTATTTAATAATATTGGGAAGTTGGGAATTTTTAACTGTTGATAATTATAAAATTTAACAATATGTTTATAAAAAGCTATAACGAATTTCTCATAACTACGTTTTACATAAATGAAAAGTGTTTGGATTAAAAGTTATGCTTTCATTTTTTGGAATGAAACTAAATATTTATTTAAACATAATCAGGTTCTAGTTTATTCATTTTGTAAACATTCGTTCATATTTGTTATAGTTTGGACGAGGGAATCATATACAGTATATTCGCACATTGTGGCTATGGCACTAACTTTCAATTTCATGATCATACTTATTTTTACCTCTTCATAGTGATTATAATAAAAGACAGATTAAAAACCATATTTTGTTTCCTCCTATTATTTGTTGAAATTATAAAGAAGGTTGAGAAAGACCTATTATTTCTTCTAACTTGTCCAAGATTTGAATGCCATGATTCCATGGAAACACGCCAGCTTGTAGCTTCGGAATTTCACAATTCGTGGTATTATTTAATATGGTATCATTTAATATTGCGGTATCATTTAATATCTTAATCAGCATATAATCTTTTCGCGGAAATGCTAAATCGCGTTCACAAAGTCGTAAAATTGGACACAGGTCATTTTTTCCATCTCCAACATACACCACTCTATCAAAATATGTTCCTTCACTGTTTCTTTTTTTAATATATCCTTCCAAAATTTGACCCTTGCATAAATTGACGGTGCTCAATTTACAAGAATTTTGAACATGATACATATCTACTCTTATCATACCGTCATCAGAAATTTTCGCGGGATTAGTGAACGTTTCAGTGATAACATGATTTAAATTTTTGCTTTTCAACCACTCGTTAATAAATAATGTATTTGAATCACTAATAATAATAATTTCACAACCACGGGTGTGTAATTCTCTTAAAAGTTCATCGACACCCGGCACTGGTGGAATATTAACGACGGCATTTTTTATTTGTTTCACATCAATGGAATTGTTGTGTAGCAATTCAAATATCTTCCCCATGTACGGGATCCAACCACTAGAACGATGTAAATCCTTAACGCTGTCAGGTAATTTTTCCTTGGGTAATAGTTTTCGAGCCACGACATCAGTATTATCATTGGCGATCGTATGATCAAAGTCGAATGCGACAAGTACGGACCGATGCATCTATTAAAATGCAAATTTAATTACAAATAGAAGCGGTTTTAATAGACATCAATTGTACGTGTTTTAATTCAAATAATTTTATTAAATGTAATATGAATTTGATTTATGGATAACTGGATACTTTGCAAAGCCCCTGTGTAAGTACAGCCCTGTATACTCGGATGCAATGTAGATTTCCTTTGGCTAAGGACAAAGGTAGGGAGAAAAGCATCTCATCCTTCGATCAAAATTTTTAATTACAAAATTTCCAAGTGTTTGAAGAATCTCAAATTGTTATAATACAAAATTTGGTTTCATATTTGAAAATTTTCCAACCGAAAATCAACAAGTAGTGCCTCTTTCCCCTACATTACCATTTTCCCCAGGAAAGTCTACCCTGCTCGCCAACGTACATTTATACTTTCGCTATAATTTCTGTTTGTATATATTTCGTTGTACTATTTTTATGATATGTTTGCGAAAGGTGAAATTCGTAATTTTAACATTAATAGGATAGAGCATTATACAATATTAAATATTTTGATAAATAAATAAATTATTTTAATTATAACTATACTAATACGTTATGTACGTTATTTGTAATTAATATATGTTACTTACTGCTAATCAAGTTTCAAACGTACATTAAATCGTAATTTTGTCAATTTAATATATAAAAGGAATGTATATAACCGAACCGTTGGGCAGGTGTCCGGTGACTGTCACTTGTAGGTTAAGTTACCAGATGCCATGATAAATTAGCACATACAGACTCCTTTCTCCCTCCACATTGTATACATATTTATTTATACACAAGTATACTACTACACAATTAATGCATAATTATATTATATTATGTATTGTTTCCCGTGTTCGCTCCTATGTGTTAATTTAACGATTAGCTACATGTACAGTTAAATATAATTCCAGTATAATATAGTTGTATAATAATAATTACTTATATATAAAATTACTTCATTTAGCTGCACATGTTTCTCTCTTTTACATTTTCTTAATATCTTATACAAATCATTTTGAATAAACAAAGTTTATGAGTTTCGATTCCACTTTGATACAGTTGTATACATCGCCGATTTCACAAAAGAGCTGCAGAGGTAATTTGCGCAGCTCGACGACTTGCGCTGCTTCACTATAATTTGCTTTCCATTTCATGAGCAATATACGTGGTGAACAGAAATATGTTAATAAAAAGAAGAGATGATAATATAGCAAAGATACAAGATTTTTGATCACCCGGTACACATCTTCTCCGTCATGAATGTAATAAGCACGGATGCACATTCGGTTGGTTTTGACCAGTGTTGGGCAGTCGTGAGATTTTATCTCAAGCGAGAGCAGTGATGAGATATGGGCCGGGTTTTTTCGCGCATGCGCGGCAATTTTAGTCTCAATGAAGAATAAGTTTCAATCAAATAGGGTACCTCAATCACCCCTCATTATTTTTCAAAAATTTTCATAATTTGGTTGCGAAATATGAATGTATAGGTTGGATATAATTACATCATATACATATTTTCATATTTGACGAGCAGACGGAAAGGAAAGGTACTAAAATAACTGTAAGTAAAATATATAATAAAGCCATCTAGTGGAGCCACTAAATACATACGCTGCGTACGCTCCTGCATGTCTCGCGCATGCGCGAAAAAAACCGGCTCATATCTCATCACTGGTGAGATTTTATCTCACGCGAGAGCTTTATGCGCATGCGTCAGCTGACGTCACAGCTTGCTGCCACTGCCGTACCTAGCCGGTACACGCAAAGGCGACTGATAAGGGCACCTTGATGATCCTACATAATTTTTCAAAAATTCTTAGAATTGCACTGTAAACTATAAATGCATAGGTTGAGTTACATTACATTAGACTGGGTTAGGTTTGTTATATATATGACAGTATAAAATTATACAACTATATATATATATATATATATATATATATATAGTATACTATATACTATATATACTATATAGTATACTATATATATATATTCCATATATATACCCTGTTAGTTATATATATAGTATATATATAGTATACACTATACAATATATATATATATATATATATATATCACTATCCTTATTATATAGTATATATATATAGTATATATACTATACTATAGTATTATAGTATAGTATAGTATAGTATAGTATAGTATATATAGTATATATACTATAGTATATACTATATAGTATATAGTATATAGTTATTATACTATAATAACTATATAGTATATACTATAGTATATACTATAGCATATATAGTATAGTATATAGTATATATATACATATGTATATATA